ATATCACACTACTAACCAGAGCATACAAAACATTTGCTAGACCAATACTCGAATACAGTTCATCAGTCTGGAATCCTTATCACGTATGTGATATTAACACAATTGAGAAAGTCCAGAAGTATTTCACAAGAAGAGTTCTCCACTCTTCTACCCGTTATAGAATACCTTACGCCACCAGACTCGAAATTCTAAAACTAGAAAACCTCGAATTACGCCGTCTTCGGTCCGACTTAAGCATGGTATATAAAATCATACATTGCAATGTCCTACCTGTCAATGAATACTTCAGCTTTAACCATAACAACACAAGAGCACACAACAGATACAAACTCAAAGTAAACCGCACCAAACTTGATTGCAGGAAATACGACTTCAGCAATAGAGTGGTCAATGTCTGGAATACTCTACCCGACTCTGTAGTCTCTTCCCCAAACCCCAAAAACTTTAACCTTAGACTGTCTACTATTGACCTCACCCCTTTCCTAAGAGGTCTGTAGGGGGCGTGCATAAGCGCACCAACGTGCCTACCGTCCCTGTCCTATTGTTTCTCTTATTCTTTTATTTTTCTTATATGTACCCATTTCATATATTCACAACTATGTATACACTTGTACTTATTATCTTGTAAACAATTGACAAATCAAATAAATAAATAAATAAATAAATAATTTGTGCTGCCCTCCAACTAAATTGAAAGGTGTCTTTCTGATCATCTTTGCAAAGGCAGATGGCAAAGAAGATGAACCAGAGAAAGACACCTACCTGGATGAAATGGAGCCAATTTTCTGTGGGTCTTGTTGATTTTAGTAAATACCAGAAAATAGAATAAAATATTTGGCCAAGTGTAATTAGACACACAAAGAATTTGTGCATAAGCTCTCAGTGTACATGCAAAAGAACAGATTAATAATAATCATAATAATGATACCAATAAGAGAAGGTAGAAAAGCTGAAAAGGATAATAGTAATACAGTCATACCACATGGCTAAATATGGTTAGGCATAACAGTATTATGGGAATTAGATGTTCAGCAGTGAGATAGCAGAAGGGATGGCACACTGTCTGGTTGTTTTGGCATGCAATGTCCTGTAGTGCGGTCCCAAAATTGAAAATTTTGAAATTGAAACAGTTTATGTCCAGAATGTGAGGGGTCTGTAGATGTTTTCCCAGCCCTCCTTCTGACGTGTGCAATATCCTCAATGGAAGACAGGCTGGTTGCAATGGTTTTTTCGGTAGTCCTAACTCTCCGTTGAAGTCTGAACCTGTCCTGTTGTACCAAACCAGACAATTATAGAAGAACAAATGACAGACTCAATAATGCCTCTGTAGAAAAGGAATGTAAGTCATGAAAATATACAGTAGCATAGTTGATAAAGGTGAAATAAAGCTTAATCAGTATCATTGATGCATTTGTCATAACATGATTTTTTAAAAAAGAATAATTTCAAAATTATGTTGAAAAAATTGACGGTGGAAGAAGACATTGCAGGAAGGTTAGATAAAACAGGAAGTTGCCTCATACTGAGTCAAACTCAATTCCTCTAACTCAGTATTACTCTCTGAATCACAAACATTCTTGCCCATGGCAAGGATTTTTCTCCCACCCCCTACCTAGAGGTGCAAGATTTGAATCATCTATGTAGAGAATATAACTACAACTGACTCTTGTCTCTTTCCCAAAGATTGGAAGGTGCTTGTAGATCCATTTCCCATGTGGCTACTAGCTAACTAAAATGCACAGAAGCACATTTACAGGTTTTTCACTTCTATCCATCCAAAGTATGAGGTGGCTTCAAATCACTTGATGTGACATGGGTATCGTTTGTTTTAGCCATTGGCTAAGCCGATCTTTTTGCAACATAGAGTCTTGTGGTCTTTAGAAAATATAGTCTTCAGTTTCTGGCTCCCCACTCCCCTGTAAAGGATGAGCAGGAAACTCCTTATCTCTTGAAATAGGAGCTGCCTGTGGTCATGGGAAATCGAATTTGGTAAGAAAAAAAGGTGGGTTGGGGAAAGAGCAATTTAGCCAAGGAGTTGGAAAGAGAGTATTAACTGTATATTAGAATAACTAAATGGACCCCTTAAGAACATTTTTTTTCTAAAAGAGCAGTTAAATGGATTCCTTAAGATAAGTATTGTCTTCTAAATCAGCTAAAAACTGCTAATAAGTAATAACTAAATAAAGGCTATTGGCTTTGGACTTCTTGTGGGTCAACCTTGAAACTCGCACATTCAACACTGTCCAGCAGGGGGCTACAAACTATTACAGTACTCTGTTGAGATTTTAGAGTGCTTTCTTTATCCATTGTTTTCTGCTAGCAACAAGAATGACACACTTCAATTCCTAGGCACACCCTTTCCTGGTGCTTAGGATGAGGGCTCAAGGCAAGAGTTCAAAAAGGGAGTGGTCCTGCTGGGAGAAATAATTACTTACAGATTATTAACAAAGTGTTGTCTGTCATTATTTTCTTGCTAATTTCAGATGTAAAACTGCATTCATTAGGAAATTTGCTGCTAATACATTAATGTACAATACACAGTTACTGCATGCATCACTAATACCTACAGCACTGAAGGAGGTCATCAACTCAAATGACAATATGTTATGGCAGATGACAATATGTTATTGTTGTATCTCCCTGGGTTCATGTTATGGAGACTCAAAGGACATTCTGCAGATGAAGCACTTTGCCCAGAAAGGTCATTTCCTCACTGAGTTCCAGCATCTTTTAGCAACATCATACATCGTTGAAGCAATACAAGTTCCTATTGTATTGCTGCAACTATGGTTAGATGACACTAGAAGCTGCTAAAATCCTAAGTGAGGAAATATAAAAAACAGTCAATATACATGAAGCAACCATACAGCAGCATTGAATGCAAGTACATTGGCAGCATTTTTGTGTCTGGAGAACAGAGGTGGTATTCATCAGGTTCTGACCAGTTCGGAGAACCGGAAAATACCACCTCTGACTGGCCCCGCCCCCATCTATTTTCTGCCTCCTGAGTCCCAGCTGATTGGCTGGGTCTTCTTTTGTTGCCCTGCACAGGAGAACGGAGCTGGAAAGCAGGTTAGTGGGGTGGGGAGGGAATGGGGATTTTACAGTATCCTTCCCCTGCCATGCCCACCAAGCCATGCCCACAGAACCGGTAGTAAAAATTTTTGAATCCCACCACTGCTGGAGAACCTTTTCATATACTTTGGCTTAGGAGTTCAGACATTAAATTACAGTCTGGGCACTAATACCGACCTCACCTTGGTAAACAATACACCCTTTGCGACATATAACACTGATTACCATTTTCCAAGTCTCTCCCCTGTTCCTTTCCTTATATATAAATTCTATGCCTGTATTGCCTTTCTCCCAATGGCAGGAATTGGGAGTTGTATTTGTTGTTGACAAATTTCTCTTATCCTGAAAGAGCAAATACAATGCTAACTCATAATGTAATGTGTTAGACTTGGTATAGTTTTGTGAATCCATCCACTCTGATTTATGGTTTACTACTACATAGCTATGCATTAAGATTCTATGGTTTGTTAACAAGCCTACTTTAGCAAACCATGCCTCTGTATATATAAACTAAGCTATACTGTGGCCGTGCTGCTTAGGTGCCTCGCTTTGTGCCTTCTGCCAGAAAGCAGATGTATGGGACTACTTTCCTTTTCTTTGTGCCTATTTTGATTGTTAGAAGTTAAGATTTTAAAAAATCAACAAGAAAAGAGAAAGAAAGAAAGAAAGAAAGAAAGAAAGAAAGAAAGAAAGAAAGA